AAGCTTAGATACTCCTTACCGAGACTCTTACTCTTGTTTAGAGTACCGTATTAAGCTCAAGTGGCTTGCTCCACGCTTCGTCGGAATACTCATATTCTATCTCTACTGTAGGTACTGTGTACTATATAATCCTAAAACACCGAGTTATCTTAAAGAAAAATTTGAGTTCATGAGCGCAAATAAAGATCATTCCAGAATAGCTGATAAACTTTTACTGCGTATGACTGCTCACAACTCAAAATTTTTTCATTCCTCCTTTTGTGTCAAAGCAATCAAATTGTGGAACTCGCTTCCTTTAACAATTACAAAAGCCAGTCATATCTACTTTTCTTGATAAGGTTTATGTATATGATATATAGCTGTTATAATGTATTACAGAAATATTTATAAAAGTGTATGTATTCTATGTATGTATAAGTAGGTATATGTGTATATGTATGTGTGTATGTATATATTTGTTTATGTGTATATGTATATAATATTATTTATTTGATTATTACATTTTTTTATATATTGTTTATACCATGTACTTTTAATATATGCTTGTTTATCTACTATTTATGCACACTTCTATATATTTAAATGAAAATTATCTCCTTCACCAAGGTTTGCCTGGAAGAGATCGCTGTTTCGCGAATCGCGATAAGGCCACCTAATTGTACATTCGTTTATAAATTTAAGTTTTCTGTGTTGTGTAGTGTTTTGTGTGCAATAAAGAGTATAAATAAAATAAAAATAAAATTAATACTCCTTTTTAAAAGGCCGGCGATGCACCTGCAATTTCCATGGTGTTGTAGTTTTTCACGGGCGGCGGTAATCACTTAGCATCAGGTGATGCGTGCTAAATCCTATAGATGTATACGTTTGTCTCTTTTTGGTGTCGCTTTTTCGTTTCATCCAGTTACAAATCACAACGATGATAAAGAAGTTTTCATTTCAAAAACTAAGCTTAAAGTACGTTGGTAGATAATTGAACAACTTGTCCAAAGGCCACTTATACTCGTAGATGCAAATGTTCTACGTGTTCTACGCGGACAATGGCGGCTAAAAGCTGGCATAAAATAATATTTTATTTCTTCAAAATAAATGGCATGTACATAAACTGTTAAGCAGCACATCTAATACTACGCTGTAAGCTTTAAACGTTAGTGTTAGCAGTGGTTTACTCCAATTAATTACTAGTTACTCCAATCAAACACTGGTGAAAACGAGGAAATTTCAAATATCAATGTAAATAATAAAGTTTTCTGGAAGAACTTTTACAATTTACCGACTTCCGATGTTTAAACTTTCCTTCATGAATCCGGAATTGCTTTATCGACATTAAGTAAACTCATATTCGCTTGCACAAACACAGAATGGAGGTGGAAATATCGAGTAAAATTAATATTCTTTTGAATTATAAAACTCGGTAGAACATTGATGTAGAGTTTTGAAGAACATTGAATAACGATCATTTAGGACATTTCCGACGAAGATTTTATTTAAACGATCGCGAAATCTACATGGGCGGAAACTACTAGGCTTGGCATTCTATACGTGGTAGAGCCACGCTGCAGCTATATTACGGTTGTAGCTCGAATGGATCGGCTCGGCTGGTTTAACACCACGCTCTCACAGAATACCACCATATAATAGCAGCTTAATGCCACTGTCTTTCATATGATGACTGTAGAGAACCGGGAACACTTTTTAATTGAAACGCGGCTTTCATCTCAGTCCTCAGGGATGACAATGCATCTGCATTTTGATTCTTAATCTCACTTACCATCAGGTGGACTGTGTGCTCGTTTGTCACTCATATTCTATAAAAAAACGCAGTTGACAGTACCGTAAGGCTGAATTGTTTTGAATTAGCTGACAGGTGCGCTCCGAAGGTAATTAATGAAGATCTCACTATTAAGGCCACGACACACGAAGTCGCTTTAGTTCTCCTACCCACAGTGTTTTACACGACATCACATTTAATAGAAACTAAAAAGATCAGTAAAGCAGCAAACGAGTGTGAAATAGTCATCGGCTAGGATTTATGTCTCGCAGTTGGTGCCATGGCGGTGTAAGAATATCCACTACCCAATAGCGTCCCATGGGTGTCGTAAGAGGTGAAAGAGGGAAACTGGAATAGGTGATGGGTAGCAGCATCTTCCTGATGACAACAAAAAAATTGACAGCCTGCTCGCCAGGCGTGTCAACTATGTTAAAATCACTCAGTTCCACCTACGTCAAGAGCTCGAAAAGAGTTCAGGAAGACGCGAATTGTTGGCAAATCAGTACTTCGAAGCTTGTTTGCTATGGCTACTTAAGAAAGCTGTCTGAAAGTTGTAACAGAGGCCGGACTAGCAAATGTTAGAAAGAAAGTCCTTACTCCTCACACATAACGCCGGCATTAATGTATCTTAACGATACAAAAAATAATAGAGTTTAATTTTGGTAATCTCAGAGATGATTGTAAAAGTGGAGGTCACGTTTAGATCACTATGAAACGTACAGAATCACATATTAAGCTAATTCGTCTTGCGTCGACCGTTTTGTACACTAGCTATTTAGCCGTGTATAATATAGTGGAAATAATATAGGAAATCATAGAATTATTAGGTCTTTAATTACTCTATGGTTGGAAATCATAAAGAACGAAACTTACAAGCAGTTTAGTTTCGATTGAAACTTAGTTCTTTGCACATCGTGAACTGATCGTTTAATCTAAAAAGATTTACAGTTTACAAAGAAGAACAATTATCAATAATGTAAATATAAAAATACTTTAACTATATTTAAGAAAAAATGCAGTACTAATAATATTATATATACAAACAATTGTTATATTTTATTACACAAAAATCGTTAAGGGGGAATTTGCCAAATAATTTTACGATTACCAACCTAACCCACCGTTACCGTCCGAGCCTATTAAAAGTCCACTGTTGAACGTAGGCTACCCTTAGATAACTTTATAGGGGAAATATTAGCCATAGTTGTGTCATGTAGGCAGACAACCCTCCCTCGCGACTTCGCCCGCGTGGAATTTACTACGATTTCATGGGTTTTAATTTTTTGCACGGAACCCTAATTATTTTTCTAAAATAAAAGTATCCTAAGTTACTCCTTATAATGTCAGCTCGTCGGTCGTCGTCAATCGGTCCAGCCGTTTCGGAGATTAACCGGAACAAACAGACAGACAGACAGACAAAAAGTTTAAAAACTGTTTTTTTGTTATTAGTACTGTATACTTTCATATGCATTTAGTAAAAAGCGGTTATTTTAAAACTACAAACAGATACTTCAATTTTATTTATTTGTATAGATTAAAAAGACGATGCTGCCCATCTCCTGGTTTGTTTTCCACTGTCACCTCTTACAACATCCACAGAACGATATGGGATAGTGGATATTTTTACAACGCACTACGCGGTCAAGCTTATATGTACGCAGTATATTCTGCTCATAAGATAAGGGGCGAGGCTCTAGACGGCACTGAACATCTTACAGTTGTTAAACTGAACGTATGTGTGAAGAAAGGTAGTTTTTTGGTAATGCCACGCTGCATAGCTACAAAGTTGGCTAGCTTGAGCTCTGTGTTGCCATATGAGGTTTGTATAATTCCCTTTTACAAAATATTTTAGTATTAGGCGTTTTTAGTAACAGTACAATAGCTATTCTACGCTAATATTAACTATCTTTTTATAACTTCTATTTATTTTGAATTAGAGTGATCCATGCGGATAGCTAATTTTGATAAGTCACTATCTGATGAACATGAATCATCAAAACTGCTGTCAGATTCTGTATCAGACTCGGCATTCAATTCTATAATAAAGTTGTCAATTTCAGCATCTATACATCCATCAGTTTTAAAAATCGATCATCAATGTGGCGCACATGTTCGCATTGCTTTTGCCAGTCTTTGCAGTAATAGATAGTAAACCTTCTTCGGTTAATTTTAATATGTTATCTTTTTCCTGTCTAACATTCGTACTAGCTACACGCCTCTTCAAAAGGCTCCACGCGTTCAGCTCGCACTAATAAGGTGCATGATTAGCTTCATATATTGGAGCTTCTTTATGCTCTTTTATAATTTCGTATGATTGAGCTTTCACCATATTAGGCACATAAGATAGACCCTTATTTGTGATCCAATTTTGATTATCAGCTTTGGTAAAATTCAATATTGGTGCTTTATTCACCTTCACTGAATGATAGGGCGCATTATCCATTACTATTAAACTTTTAAGCCGTAAATTAGGTATAAGTTTGTCTTGTACCCATTTTATAAAATTTGATCTGTTCTTGTCATCATGGTAGTCACCCGACTTTGACTGTGATTTAAATATCAATTGTGCATTTGGTATAAAGCCCATTTCATCACATGATATATGATGTAATTGAATTTTGTCCTAGTTGTGACAGTATGGCAGATGACATTGATAAAAACGATATCACAAGAGCAGCAATATTCCGTCGGTCAAGTTCCCGCCAAAGAGAATATAACCACTTGGTTCCATAGATAAATATATATGTAGCAAGCTACTTGGTTCCCGCAAAAACTCTTTGTAGTTGTTTGATTCGCCAATTCAAGCAGGCAAAGTTCTTAGACCATACAGCCTAGTCTGATTTGTATTTCGTTCAGATAATGTTTTTCATATTATATCAAGGTCCTTAAAAAAACTTGAGAATTAATACGTAACCATCGAAGCACTTATTACATCGTTTCCACTAATAAGTCACATGCGCAGACATTTCGTACACAAAACCGCAACACTTTTACGTATCGAAATTTACTTCAAACCATTATTAAAACGAAAAAACAGAGACAACAATCCGCTGGCGGTCAAGTTCCTACTATTACTACTATTTGAATTATTCCAAATTTAAATATTGCTCGTAATTTTTAGTTTTTTTTTTTAAATTTATGACTCGTATTCGTCAGTAACATTTGCCTCGTAAGCTTTTCGTTCATTAAGTATTAAATAGGTTCACTACTCAAAATAAAATCAAAGAAATTTCACAAGTGAATGTCTTTATTTTTCTTGTTTTCTGTAAATCAATGAACATTGAACACTTTTTTGTTTATTATACTTTTCATTTCATATTTCTTCTCTTCTCACCTTTCCTTTCCCAATACATGCCAAAATAATTCTTATATTAATTTATTAATGCTCACATAATATTTTCATTAGAACGCTATTACATTATTAGTTTCCCGGGTTAAAACAAACATTGCAGGGTAAGCGGTTCTCAACATCCAAATACATGTGTAAGAAAAAAATAAAACAAATTTTTCCTGTTTCTTTTTATTATTTTTTTTAACTGAAAATATACTTAGACTATGTACTTTTACTTGTAATGTGATTAAATGTACTTTCCTCTCTCACAAATTTTTCAATCAATATATAAATCTATTTTTGGACCTAAAATAATTTATACAATCACAATTGTCCGCATATCAAGTAATCACATCACATCGTTTTACTATTTAAATAAAAAAATAGTTATCTATGATACCATACACAAACGTCAAACTTAAAATTTCTCACAAGGTTGCCAGCCGTAACAGTTCTTTATTTTACCTAGATTTTGGGTGCTTAACTTAAGAAAATGTAAGAAAAAAAGCTTAATTTTAAAACCTTAAATATTATATGTGTCTATTATTTACAGTAATTTACATCACATAACTATGTTGTATGGTGGTTAGTAATATAACATACTAAATTACAAAGATGATAATAAAAGAACATAAATTTAACATAAGGAACTACAATCAAGATCACTGTCGGGATGAAATTAATCCTATAAAATAGCATGCGACAGTACATAATATCACATTATTATTAGAGATTACCAATATTTAATTGGCAATTTTAAGGGTCTTACATAAGCATAAGATAACTAACATTTTGTTGAAAACCCTTGAGATTTTTTATCTAAATTCAGCCAGGATGGAAATTAGTCAATATAGATACAACTTAATAGCTAGCTAGCTATGTTCTATAATTGGCACATCTCTACGAAATGCTATCTGCAATATTAGTTAGTAAGTGTCGTTAAGATCTGATGCCACAAAAATACAAAACAATGGATTTGACTGGCATTTAAAAAAAAATACCCAGTATCATTATGTGTTTGGATGCTAAAATGATGCTGGCAATACTGACTGTGTTCAAATTTTATTATAAGTCGATTTTTTACTTTTGCCGATTTCCTGGCAACACCTCTTTTATTAATAATTTTATGTCAAATATTTTGATATACCAATTTATTGTGATGAAAGTGCAATTTTGTTTGATTGACAAATGCTAGTTAATTATTGTTTGGCGGTGGTATTTTACAAAGCCTGGCTGTTGACTATACGTGTAAAGTAAATAAAAATATAAATCAAAATGGACTGATGTCATTTTGTATGCGGATAAATGTTAAAATTAAAATTATTGCTAATTGTTAAAATTTCCTAGTAGGGAGGAGATCCGAGCGTAATCGCGCACAGTCGCTACGCAGTTCGTTCGTTTGCATGTTTGTATAACCACCATACTTGTATCCGCTCACAGCGCGCACTACTGAGTGACAGATGGCTGGTGCTTACTTGCTTTGAGCTCCTGCAAAAATAAACAATGTTGAAATAGTATATTTCATTACGAGTTCGAAAAGCCTGTTATTGCAAAGAGTTCCGACAAATGTCTACCCGATCCGAGGCGCAGCCGAAGGTGAGGGTTGACAGTCGGAACAGGTTGCAATAATGGTTCCGCACGTGTATTGAACAACTATTTTTAATACAGTAATAAAGTACATTTTTGGAAAATGGCGCCAACCGTAAAAGAATATAAGCAGAGATTTTTTTTGTTTTCTTCACCCATCCTGGGTAGGAAAAGGGTACTATGCCCATACAGCCAAGTCTTCAGTAGAACTTTTTTATTGATATGAAATGAAAATGAAATTTAATGAGATGAAATGAAATGAAACCTAACCTAACTCATTGAATCAAATCATTAAATGATATTGAAACAAGCTTCTTTTTAGAAATATTTGCATGAATCATAAAAACTTCTATGAATTTTTTTTTAGTAAAACCTTCGTGGTTGGTTTTTTTCTTTTTAATAGACATTATTTTGACAGTTGGGAAAGAGAACGCACGAGTTCGGAAAAGGTAAAGAAAAAGCACGAGTATGTAATAGCCCACATCCCGAACATAGCGTTCGGGATGTGGGCGGTCTCTGCAATACGCCACTTTTTGAGCAACTGTATTAAAAAAATTATTTAGAATGCTTAATCTACTTTATGCCGTGTTGGCGTGTTGTGGGGGTTGTGGAAATCGGACACGGGAAGCTGAGGATCTTGTTATCACTAAATATTATGAAATCGACTTAGATTTATTGTACTTAGATTTATTTAGAACAAGAGCTGCAGTACGTACAGTTGTGCAGGCGCACGGAGGGCCAGCGGTGCAGCTCGGCGGGTGGCGCGCGGCGCGTGAGGCGCGGCGGCTCGCTGCGCCGCACGCAGCCCTCGTGGATGTGCACCGACACGATGTCCGACCCCGGGATCTCGAACATCACTTCCAGTAGCAGGTTTTCCTACAACGCACCAAAATAATTCAACTGTCACACCCGTTACAAGCTGTTGCTTTTATACCTAAGTTTATTGAATAAATATGAGTGAACGAGTGAATGAGTAAAGGAATGAGCGCATGTGCGTTAGTTACCATGATGGCGCGCAGGCCGCGCGCGCCGGTCTTGCGCTCCATGGCGAGCGCGGCCACGGCGCGCAGCGCGTCCTCGCTGAACGACAGCTCGCACTTGTCCATCGCGAACAGCAGCTTGTACTGCGCCACCTGCACCGCCACATCACTATACTAATGTACCTGCCTCACACGTTTGCATCTAGTATATAAGTCTAAGGCTTAGACCATATCATGTCTATCTAGATACGATTTGATCGGAAATATACTTAATTTCTGTTTTTGATATTTGATTTGAAAAACAATCTGCAGTTCATTAAAACGTGATTTTTGTTGAACAGTAGTTAGTTTATGGAATTAAGGTAGTCTAAAAATGCAGTGACTTTGTCAGATGGTAAAATTGTGAAAGGGCCGTCTACGTACTCCGTTACAAAAACATCTGGCCGCCGAGCTTAAACACATCAAGCAAATATTGCAAGTCAATAAGCTTCGGGTCTCGCGACTACGTCACAGTGACCAAGTGAAGACAGCCACAGTCGAGCGGGTGCCTGCTGTGTACTACCCTATGTCAGAGAAGTCACAAACCAGGTTGTTAGCCAACCTGGTCTGTGACTTCTCTAACATCTCTGAAGCAAACTTCCATGAAAACACACTTCAAGCTGTCGAAGAAAATTTGTAAATTTTTACTATCCGTCAAGTGTAATATCAATCTACAAGATGCTGTATGATGAAGTATGCAAGCTTAATTGTGAATGTGGTCTCTCTTACAAAAGACAAACAAAAAGATCTATTAAAACATGCGTGAAAGAACGTATAGCTGACGTGAGACACCTACTCTCTGGTAAGTCTGCAGTCTGTAAACATGTTAGAGATCGTCCCCGCCATTACATCAAATTTGATAGACCACAAATCGTCGCAGAAACACCGATTCCTACCAAAGATAATACGCGGGGCTATTAAAATTAAAAAACATACCAATTTAAATAGGAAAGACACCCAACCAGGTGCTGCCATCTGCTTGGGATCCTATAATTAATGAAATTAAATCCAAACCCAAGCATACCACTGCAAGACTTTAAGATACTGTAGGCTCATTCTGCATAGATCCCCCGTAACTATGGGTTGCTGTAAAGCACCAGAAACGGCGAGAATTAAAATAAGTAAATTATTAATTTAAAACCCGCCGAATTTTGCAACTGGATATCTGTCTGAGTGAAAGGTCGATCAGGGTAGTCATATATGGCTGGCTCTCCTGACGGCATTAATATACATTAGTATATAAAAAATAAATGGAGCACACAAGTAACCTTATGGTATCCAAGAGGAGACATCAGAAGACAGGGACGTCCGAAAACAAGATGGAGTGACGATATCCACCTAACTCTAGGACCATACTGGACCAGAGTTGCAGAGGACCGGGCTCAATGGAGAGAGCTGGAGGAGGCCTATGCCAAGAGGCACGCCGAATTGCGTGATATAATATAAGAAATAAAATTTATAAAATCAAAAATGTTAAACTGCATGTAGTTAGGAATAAAAGGGCTTTATTATTATTATATTAATGCCGGAGTGCCTCAGGGGTATGTATTCTCTGTGACTATTTTCCTGCTGAGCATCAGTGACCTACTTCTATCCGGTATTGTTGGGTATGCAGGTGATAGCACAGTCACAGAGAGATTCATGGCCTGTGCAAAAGACGGAGGCGCAGTATTACGTTCACTCGGAGAGGCCATGGTGGAGCGGATAAATGCAACCTAAAGTCTTGTCTCCCAATGGCGTGATAACAATCTGGTCACTTTCAACGCTGCAGACCTGTCTGTCCTCCGCAAAACAGGGTCCGTTTGATCTGACTCCTCCTCTCCGAGGTACATCTGTAGTAGTTACTAATCATCTCAAGTTTCTTGGCATACAGCTGAGTGTTAACCTCAACTTTGGTGCTGACATTGAGCCGAAAGCAAAAACTGCAGTCAAAAACTGGGTATTTTAAGCAAGGCTTATACAAAGCTAAGTCCGAACATGCATGCAGTATTGTAGTCACCTTTGGGATGACTCAGAAAATTATCAAGCAACAAAAAGCTGGTAGAACCTAAGCTTCATCGCTTAGCTCACCGCCACCAAGTTGCTCGTTTGTCGGTCTTATACAGATATTACTTCGGAGTGATGAAGCTCATGGGCACATGAGCTTCATAAGCTCATACCGCCATCTCCATTCTGCTATCGGAGTACCAGACGTACTGCAGGTTATCATTCACACTTGGTTGATATTCCGAATATTCGCTATAAGCGCTATAAGTCATCTTTCATAATGCGCACAGCCACGGAGTGGAATGCCCTGTCGTCGTCTGTTTTTCCGAGTGCATATAACCCTAACCTCTTAAGGTGCATGTTAACAGGCTTCTCCTGTGTAAACTCGCTCCATCCTAGACCTCATCTTTACCCTCGGTCCAGATGGAGATCAAGAGTGAACCAACAAAAGAACGTACGCAAATCTAATAAAGAGGACTTTAAAACCGTCATGGCAATCGGATGGCATTCTGGCCCTTATAAAATGTAATTACAACCCGTTGCGTTATCTAGATATTACATTAATCTAAGTCTCACCAACAAATTGAGACATACAGAACGCTACCCATATTTCAAGTGACGCCAAACACATTATGAACTTATTGTAACAACAGGAAAGGCACGACAGTTTGCTGCAAAATGGCGTCACTTGTAATGTACGAGTACATAATGTTCTATCTATCTTTTTCTGTTGGTTTGAGTATTCAAAAGAACAATTATTGTTCGAGCAAAAGTTACCCCACCATTCGACTAATGTCGTGAAACATTCGTAGCACAAGCCTTTTTAACTTATTAATATTAGGAATGTTAACGGCATTACATTCTATTTATCATTAAGTGAACTGTGTGCTCGATTGCGTGCGTCGTATTGACCGGTCAGCATGAAACTTGTATGACAAAGATTGACTTCTGTACACCCCCTCTAATGGCAGGATGATGAAATATTACGCTTTTAACAATGATATTTGTTAAGATTTAGATAGCATGAAAAATCCTCGCTTATTGACATACTGAACACCAACGATACGGTTCCTTTACAATCTCCTAGTTATTCTTTAACTGATTAGCTAATCCTCACACAACAATCAATATTGGTTATGACATTCACTACATACACTCTAAAAATATCACCGCGATATATTGTATGCGCACTCACCATAGCGTTTTTAGGTTCTGTCAGTATCCGGACAAGTAGGTCCTGGTTTAGACTGTGGAAAGGCACCAAAACGGGAAATCTGCCGACGAACTCCTGAAATGAGAAAAGTGTTACATGTGAATACTTTCTTCGAAAGTTTTTCAACAGATACATTAAAAATGATTTTGAACAAAAGTAAACCATGGAAAATCTGTATCGATTTTAGTAAATCTTTTGATAATGTTTTATTGGCGGCTACTGATATAAGTTTTCATAACCTATTTATATTCATTGACCACTTGGACTCCCAGAGATTGGATTTTAAAGGAATCGGTCTAAAATAAGAGTACAAAATGGCAACCACTTATATAAATTTTCATAACCAATTTATATGCATAGACCACTTGGACTCACTGTTTATGCCTAAATTTGGTCATGTTGAACGCCATTCAATTGCGTTTGAGCTGTCGCGTCACCCAATAGTATGTAGGTGAAAAAACGCCGCCAGGTGGAGCGGCGGTGTGCGGCTTTTGTGGCTCGACGCGTGGGCGAAGTGGGAGTTGCCCACTGGCCGCGAAGCGGGGAACCCGCGTAGCTCGTTTATTGCGGCCGAAGTTCACGCGACCGTTGTCGGGTCCAGATAGTTAGATTAAGTGCGTGTTACTTCGTTACGTGGATATGTGAATTTTGCAATATTTACCTTGTTCGGGGATGCGGAATTGTGCACGCGCGTGTCGAGTAGATCTATACGGATTACGGTCTAGGATTCGAACCGCGCATTCCTTATTCGAGAGCTTCTCCCGGTTGATCGTCAGGAAATCATTATAATTGTGCCGTCGCGTTAGGTGCCCTTTTTGTGTGTCGGTTGGCTTGTTAGTTTACGTGTCAACGAAGCGTATTTTGAATCTTTTCGCGACGTGGTGTTTCGGTGTCGAATGAAGGAACTTAGTTGGGTTTAACGCTGAATCGTATGACTCATTAAGAGATCGCTTTAATTCCCTATTTATAATTTTGTGATAAGTGAATCCGGGACATTGAATGTCGAATTGAAACTACTGTCCTTACTGTATCGGGTATCACGTGTTCGATTCTACGATGAATGTGGAATTAGGCGAGTTTAAGTTAGTTAAATGTACAATGAAGCTAATAGACTGAAATAGTGACAAGGAAGAAAGAAATGGTCCAGCGGTGGAGCCTGGAATTTGGCCGCTACTGATCGCCTAAGGTGGTCAAGGTCTCACACATTTACATATCACTGAACACTACTTGCCATTCACCTTACACCCACTCACGGCCTGACCGAGCCTTGGTGCGAAGTTAGCTTCTGATACTGGTACGTAATATGTGTTTCTAGCATTCTCCCATATAGCTTAGTGTTATAGGAAATTCTTCCATGTGGCCATTGGCCCCGTCCCTCTGCTGCCCGTCGATGGGATTACTCATGGGCCCTAGTCCCGTCAACCTTTGTTGGGGCAGCTAGGGGCGTGTACACTCACATATATTGTTTTTTAAAGAAACTGGGACAGAAACAAAATATATCAAAATGGCGGCCACTTTTTAGTTTACACGATGAATTTATATTCATAGACTACTGGGATATATTTATTTTTAAAGGAATCGGTTTAAAAACATTTTTCAAAATTGCGGCTTCTTATAAAAGTTTTAATGACCTATTTATATTCATTGAACACTTGGAACTCACAGATATTGATTTTTAAAGGAAACGATTCAAATACACACTTTTCAAAATGGCGGCTTATATGGGTTCTAATAACATAATATACCAGGTATTTATGAACATAAACACTCACGCCTGTCACCCAGAGGGGTAGGCAGAGATTATGGACTTCCATTTGGCAAGATCCTGACACACCTCTCTCGCTTCCTCCACATCCATATACCTACGCATACACGCTCGTCGGTTAAAGGTACTCTTGATATGGCCCATTTTTAATATATCGCCAATTTGGTCGATAAACTTTCGCCTAGGGCGACCCTTCCCGACTATCCCGTTCACCTCTGCAACATAGATTTGCTTTGTCACTCTTTCCTCATTCATTCTTTCTACATGGCCAAACCACCGAAGCATTCCTTTCTTAATCCTGGTCACAACATCATCTTGCAAACCACACTCTTCTCTCATTAAACAATTTCTCACTCTGTCATTCAGTTTCATCCCTAACATACTCCTTAATGACCGCATTTCTACAGCATTTATTCTACTCTCATGCTTCTTCTGCCACACCCAACTTTCACTACCATACATTAAAGTAGGTACTAACACAGCATTGTGAATTGCCATACGTGCCTTTTTGGACACATTCTGACTTTTCACAATAGAGTGTAGAGCCCCATTCACTCTATTTCCTGCATTCACTCGTCGTTCTATTTCCTTATCATATCTACCATCCCTGCTAAACACACATCCCAAATATACAAACTCATCTACTTGCTCTACCAACTCCCCTTCTATTCTTATTTCACATATCGTTTTGCTGTCTTCTCTTTCAAAAACCATAACTTTCGTCTTACTTGCGATCACTTTCATTCCCTTTTCTTTTAATGTCCTGTTCATTAATGTAACCATCATTTGCAACTCGGCTGCCGACGACGCAAGTATGACTTGATCATCGGCGTACAAAAGGCATTTGACGGTTAACTCACCCATTCTTAACCCGCATTCTTCTACTTTCAAAAAGTATTTATGAAACGCCTCCGAAAACGAAGACAGACGATAGTACTAACGATACCTTTGAAAGAAAATCGATACAGAGGAAAAAATCATCTTTTCACAACAGCACAAACTTTATTCACGTTCCATCATGTTAGTACAGCTAAATGAAACGATAATTTAAAAAAAATCATAAGAATACTTAAACATAAAACCAGCAGTGGAATTTAAAACGAATATATCAGCTGACAATATATGTGCGGACACCAAATTCGCGCGGGCCCGCAGCTAGCAATCGTACCAATACCTAATGATTTACAACACTTGTCTAAATACCAAACTTATCTACTTAACCCAATATTTTGCCACTGTGCTTGTCTCTACTTAGCCACTTTAGTTCGTGTTCACAGTTCAGTGTTACATAAACCAAATACCTGGTTCGATTCCCCGCTAATAAAAAAGAAATGTTAACAAGTAGAGTCATGCTTTTATCCACCGTGTAGGTATGTTTATTATTCTGATGTATTCAGTTATTTACCTATTCAGATCAGTTCAGTACTAAGTTATTTAAAAAGAAATAGATATGAAACAGCGTATCGATCTAATTCCCGCGAGCCTCTCCAAAGTACATTAACATTTTGCCCGATTCACGAGCACTATAAACGTACGCATTAGGCATTATTAAAACAAAACAAGAAACACAAAACGTAACAACAAGAATAATAACAAGTAATAACAAGAATTTAATAAACAAAACCATTGAACTGTCGTTAACGAGCACGTGATAGTCAACACGGAACTGTCTCAAAAACTAAAACTAATAATCAATCCCGCCAAAACAAATGCCTACCACTAAGTGTGTGCGCCCTTGCGGTAATCACTGATAATTTCCACAGATCGTAAACCGTTACGACATTGCCGATTTTTATTTTATAAGTTTAGTTATCCATACGACTCTCAAATATTGTTTTAAAAGAATGGATGCAGAAATAATTTTTCAAAATGACGGCCTTTTCTTTTAGTTCTGATGATGAATTCATATTTATAAACCGCGTGTAATTTAGATATTGATTTCGGAATTTGAAAAGAATCGGTGTAAAAACAAAAGTTTTTAAAATGGCGGCGTTTTTATTCAGGTCTGACTACGAATTCAAGTTCATAGACCACTTGTAGGTACCTCCAGATATTGATTTTATAAATAACCGACAGTGCCGAAACAACTTTCAAAATGACGGCCCCTTTATTGAGTTTTGGCGACGAATTTAGCGGTCACACTCGTCGGCGGCGGGCTGCAGCACGTACGGCACGTGCGGCACGTACGGCACGTACCGGTATCATGCCGAAGTCGATGAGGTCGCGCGCCTGCACCTTGCGCAGCCAGGCGTCGCGCTCGTCGCACTCGTCGGCGGCGGGCTGCAGCACGTACGGCACGTGCGGCACGTACGGCACGTACCGGTATCATGCCGAAGTCGATGAGGTCGCGCGCCTGCACCTTGCGCAGCCAGGCGTCGCGCTCGTCGCACTCGTCGGCGGCGGGCTGCAGCACGTACGGCACGTGCGGCACGTACGGCACGTACCGGTATCATGCCGAAGTCGATGAGGTCGCGCGCCTGCACCTTGCGCAGCCAGGCGTCGCGCTCGTCGCACTCGTCGGCGGCGGGCTGCAGCACGTACGGCACGTGCGGCACGTACGGCACGTACCGGTATCATGCCGAAGTCGATGAGGTCGCGCGCCTGCACCTTGCGCAGCCAGGCGTCGCGCTCGTCGCACTCGTCGGCGGCGGGCTGCAGCACGTACGGCACGTGCGGCACGTACGGCACGTACCGGTATCATGCCGAAGTCGATGAGGTCGCGCGCCTGCACCTTGCGCAGCCAGGCGTCGCGCTCGTCGCACTCGTCGGCGGCGGGCTGCAGCACGTACGGCACGTGCGGCACGTACGGCACGTACCGGTATCATGCCGAAGTCGATGAGGTCGCGCGCCTGCACCTTGCGCAGCCAGGCGTCGCGCTCGTCGCACTCGTCGGCGGCGGGCTGCAGCACGTACGGCACGTGCGGCACGTACGGCACGTACCGGTATCATGCCGAAGTCGATGAGGTCGCGCGCCTGCACCTTGCGCAGCCAGGCGTCGCGCTCGTCGCACTCGTCGGCGGCGGGCTGCAGCACGTACGGCACGTGCGGCACGTACGGCACGTACCGGTATCATGCCGAAGTCGATGAGGTCGCGCGCCTGCACCTTGCGCAGCCAGGCGTCGCGCTCGTCGCACTCGTCGGCGGCGGGCTGCAGCACGTACGGCACGTGCGGCACGTACGGCACGTACCGGTATCATGCCGAAGTCGATGAGGTCGCGCGCCTGCACCTTGCGCAGCCAGGCGTCGCGCTCGTCGCACTCGTCGGCGGCGGGCTGCAGCACGTACGGCACGTGCGGCACGTACGGCACGTACCGGTATCATGCCGAAGTCGATGAGGTCGCGCGCCTGCACCTTGCGCAGCCAGGCGTCGCGCTCGTCGCACTCGTCGGCGGCGGGCTGCAGCACGTACGGCACGTGCGGCACGTACGGCACGTACCGGTATCATGCCGAAGTCGATGAGGTCGCGCGCCTGCACCTTGCGCAGCCAGGCGTCGCGCTCGTCGCACTCGTCGGCGGCGGGCTGCAGCACGTACGGCACGTGCGGCACGTACGGCACGTACCGGTATCATGCCGAAGTCGATGAGGTCGCGCGCCTGCACCTTGCGCAGCCAGGCGTCGCGCTCGTCGCACTCGTCGGCGGCGGGCTGCAGCACGTACGGCACGTGCGGCACGTACGGCACGTACCGGTATCATGCCGAAGTCGATGAGGTCGCGCGCCTGCACCTTGCGCAGCCAGGCGTCGCGCTCGTCGCACTCGTCGGCGGCGGGCTGCAGCACGTACGGCACGTGCGGCACGTACGGCACGTACCGGTATCATGCCGAAGTCGATGAGGTCGCGCGCCTGCACCTTGCGCAGCCAGGCGTCGCGCTCGTCGCACTCGTCGGCGGCGGGCTGCAGCACGTACGGCACGTGCGGCACGTACGGCACGTACCGGTATCATGCCGAAGTCGATGAGGTCGCGCGCCTGCACCTTGCGCAGCCAGGCGTCGCGCTCGTCGCACTCGTCGGCGGCGGGCTGCAGCACGTACGGCACGTGCGGCACGTACGGCACGTACCGGTATCATGCCGAAGTCGATGAGGTCGCGCGCCTGCACCTTGCGCAGCCAGGCGTCGCGCTCGTCGCACTCGTCGGCGGCGGGCTGCAGCACGTACGGCACGTGCGGCACGTACGGCACGTACCGGTATCATGCCGAAGTCGATGAGGTCGCGCGCCTGCACCTTGCGCAGCCAGGCGTCGCGCTCGTCGCACTCGTCGGCGGCGGGCTGCAGCACGTACGGCACGTGCGGCACGTACGGCACGTACCGGTATCATGCCGAAGTCGATGAGGTCGCGCGCCTGCACCTTGCGCAGCCAGGCGTCGCGCTCGTCGCACTCGTCGGCGGCGGGCTGCAGCGGCGACGCGTCTGCGGCTGCTGCGGCCAGTGCGGCTCTCCGCCCACCAGTACGATCCCACGCGCCGAACCCCAGGTACTTTTCGTTACTACGCCTCTGTACTAGCCTGCAGATCAAAAAACCTAATTATAAAATATTTCTTTCTGCGTGCGACATATGCGAAGTGCGCAGTATGCGTTGATATGCGTAGTGTGCAAGGCGTACAAAGTAAAATATATACGATGTGTGTAGTGTGCTAAGTGTACAGGACGCTAGGTGTGCGAAGTGTGTAGTGTGCGACTTGAAAATTCTACAGTATACGAGAGGTGCGAAGTGTGCAGTGTGCGAGGTGCGAATTGTGCAATGTATGAAGTGCAAAGCGAGCAACGCTCAAGTGCGAATGTATCGGTACGATACCTATCGAGTCCGTTGTACGCGCCGCTGGCAACAAACAGTATGTTGGTGGTATCCACCTGCACGGCATCGCCACGCAGCTTACGCGAATTGCGCTCCGGTACCGACACCAACGCGCCTTCTAACATCTTCAACATGCCTTGCTGCACGCCTTCGCCTGAAACAATAACAATTATATTGCCTTACTCCGCTTTTCTTCTGCTCTATCATGAGTGAAATTCGAAATTGCAGAGGTTATTGATACATGTCACCAATAAGGTTGGCCCCAATAAACTACCTTGGGGCACCCCGTAGTAGGTATTTTTGTGTTGAGCAAATGAACACATCAATTTGCAAATATCGGCATCGATTTTCACAATATCAAAAAGTTTTAAGTTTTTTACCTTGAATATGTTCTTTAACTTAATACTTGTTTAATAGGATGGAATTATGTTAGACTGCACCGAAAGCTTATGGTAGATCAGGTAAAATGCTCATTGATTGCCTTTGTCTAATTATTCAGCAGCAGACAGTTTTGGATATTGAATTCCATAGTATCGATTTCAATACTTTACTTTTTAAATTTTTTATTAATCTATTGTTAGGTTTTTTCTGTTTTAGATATTAATGAGAGTGTTGATAAAGGTTGATAATTGAAACAATCTTTTTTGTCCCCTGATTTATGTACTGGAACTACAATGGCTTTGTAGACAATCCGAGAAAATGTCTACAGAGACAAATTTGGAAAATTTTGAGTTAACGTTTGTCTAAATTACCTTAAAAATTAGTTAAAATACCCAACTACATAGGTTTCTCTCAGTCCTATTATAACCATTTCTACCTCACTCTGCCGTCTGCCGTATCCATTAAAACGAATAAGCTTAATTTTCAGTTTCTTTAAGTCGACAATGTTCTAGTGTTGGAACTCAGGTGTTAATGAAAATGACTGAGTAATTTATAAATGACAGTAATTTATCAATGCCTCCCTTTACCTACTACAAGACAGTTTTATACCTACTTAGAGGCTTGCAACACTACACTACATGCCCATCGGCTGAAAAGAAAAATGTATTATATATATACCGAGTGTTATTGAAACGCTCCCGAAAACGAAGACAGACGATAGTACTAACGCTACCTTTGATGATGGGTCAGAAAGAAAAATCGATCCCGAGGAAAAAATCATCTTTTCACAACGTTTTATTAGCTTTATTCACGCCCCATCATGTTAGTACAGCTAAATGAAACGATAATTTCATTAAAAAATCATGAAAATATTTAAACATAAAACTAGTAGTGGAATTACAATCTGGTGACTAGGGGTCAATGTACGCGCGGACGCCGAATTCGCGCGGCTCGTAGCTAACGATGGTACCATAATACCTAATAATTTACAACACTTATTAAATACCTAACTTACCTACTTAACCTACTAATTTGCCACTGTGCTTGTCTCCACTTAGCTGCTTTAATTCGTGTTCAGAGGTTACATAAACCAAATACCTGGTTCGATTCCCCGCTAATGAAAAAGAAATGTTAACAAGTAGTCACGCTTTTTATCCACCGTGTAGGTATGTTTATTATTCTAATGTATTCAGTTATGTACCTATTCAGATGAGTTCAGTACTAAGTTATTTAAAAAAAAATTTGGTATGAAACAGCTTACCGATCTAAATAAAAGTAAACTTAGGAAATACGTACGCACATTGTAATCTTTTTAACACATGGTACCTAATATGTAATAAGTACATAACCTAAGACTATATCGCTTCCAGCACTAGAGGTAGATGTGATAATATTATCAAATTATAATAATTACTTTGTATCTCATTATAAGTGAACCATTGTATGTTCTTATGAGAAATAAAATTCTTTAATCCGAAATCCTCTGTGGTCTTATGAGATTCTCCAAGGCACATTAACATGTTGCCATATTCACGAGTATATTCACGAGTAAAACAAAACAAGAAACACAAAACGTAACAACAAGAATAATAACAACAAGAATTTAATAAACAAAACGATTGAACTGTCGCTCACGCGCACGTGATAGTCAACGCGGAACTGTCTCAAAAACTAAAATTAATAATCAATCCCGCCAAAACCAATGTCTCGTGCGTCGTAACGTCCTTGAAGCACTTTGATTATTTCCACATACCGTTAATCATCGTGATATTTGGATGCGGGAAAGCATGATGCAGCTGCGTTATGTGCGCCCTTTACATATTCTACCACATAGTTGTACTCCTCAAGTATTAGCCTGAATTTAGTCAAACGACTAGATGGGTTTGTCATATTAAAAAGATAGACTAAAGGTTTGTGGTCAGTACTTATTATAAATTTACGACCATAATAGAGGTAGGGCCTAAAATATTTTACAGACCATACTATAGTCAGAAGCTCTTTCTGTATTGTAGGGTATCTATTTTCAACTCTATTTAAATTGCGACTTGCGTATGCTACTGGTTTATTACCGCTGTTACTTTTAATATTAATCCTATGGCATACCCAGATGCATCAGTTTGCAATATAAACGTATTTTCCCTATCAAAGTTAGGGTACTGTAGTAAAGGTGGAGATATTAATGCGTTTTTAAGATCAGAAAAAGATTTTTGACATTCTGTGGTCCATTTAAACTCTTATATTTTTCCGACAAAGTCTATTTAATGATAAGGTCTTTTCTGCGAATTGGTGAATAAATTTCCTATAAAAATTTGTAAACGCTACAAATCTTTCAATTTGATTTCATCTGAATTTCTTGGGACGGGATAATTTTCGTCGGTCGGGTTTTATCCCCGCAATAAATCGCATTTACTAGGGTTTAATTTTCGATTGGTTTTATGAACGGATGACACGGATGGGCCGGCTCGACCCATCCGCGCGACAGCAAAAGCTGCCGCGTGGCTCTACCACTGTTTAAAAAATCAAATGAGTGGAGGATAGTTGTAGATGAACCGGGGTGGTACCACGACCTCACAGAAAACCAGCGTGAAGTAGAGGTTTACCTCTGCATTTCGCTTGGTGAGTGCAGGTGGCCGGAGGCCCTTTTTACTGGAAATGAGGCATTCCATCTTAGTCCTCACGGGTGACAACGCATCTACATTTTGATTTGTAATAGAATAGAATAGAATAGAATATTTTTTATTCAATATACATTACATGTGTAATTCTTATTGAAAGTCATTTTTTACTTTACCACTGGTTCGAAAAAAACCCTCTGTCCTGGGAAGAACCAGCAAGAAACCCAGCGGGACTTTTTTTTTTAAAATAAATTTTACAATATAAATGATTACGAACTATTTACAAAATTTATTTTTGAAACTGCTTGGAAGCGATCACCTCATTCCCAGGGGTTATTATCAACCATGTATTCATTTATACTATAATAACCCTTTTTATACAGTTTCAGCTTAATAAAACATTTAAACTTGGTAATAGAGAGAACCTGTACACTTTCCGGGACCTTGTTGTAATAGCGTATACATTGCCCCAAGAATGAATTACTGACTCTGTGGAGTCGAGAAACTGGTATCACTAGCTTGTGTTTGTTCCTAGTGTTTACAGAATGTATATCACTTCTTTTACTAAAACTATCTTTGTTTTTGTGAACATACATTAAATTTTCGTAAATATACTGAGAGGCCAAAGTTAATATATTAATTTCTTTAAATTTATCTCTAAGAGACTCTCTCGGTTTTAGATTGTAAATAGCTCTAATGGCCCTCTTCTGTAAAACAAAAATAGTTTCTGAATCAGCCGCATTTCCCCATAGCAAAATCCCATAAGACATTATGCTATGAAAATAACTAAAATAAACTAATCTAGCTGTCTCGACACTAGTGAGACCTCTAATCTTTTTTACAGCATAGGCTGCAGAACTTAGTCTGCTTGCTAATTTGGATATATGGGGGCCCCACTGGAGCTTTGCGTCAAGAGTGATGCCAAGAAAAACAGTGGATACAACAGGGCTCAATTCCTCCCCATTTAAAAACACATTGGTATTCAGATTTTGAACATTCGTTGTTGTAAATTTAACACAATTAGTTTTATTTCCGTTCAAATGCAGATTATTAACGTTAAACCAATGCACTAATTTTGATATAGCATTATTCACTTCGTCACATTTAAATGATTGACGTTTAAGTTTAAAAATCAAGGAAGTATCATCAGCAAATAATACTATATCATGACTATCCCCTACAAGGTGAGGTAAGTCATTAATATACACCAGAAACAGGAATGGGCCGAGAATCGAGCCCTGAGGTACACCCATTAGTACAGGTGACCCGGAAGAACTTTTACCATTGATAATAACCTTCTGTTTTCTATTACTTAAATATGAAATAATAAGTTTAAGCGCTGTGTTCTTGACACCATAGTACTGTAGCTTCCTGATTAATGTCTCATGGTGAACACAGTCGAAGGCCTTGGAAAGGTCACAAAATATACCCAAAGCATCCTCTGATTTCTCCCATGCACAAAAAATATGTTTAATAAGCTCAACTCCAGCGTCAGTTGTCGAGCGACCCCTTGTAAAACCGAATTGATTTTTATGTAGCAATTTATTAATATTAAAGAAACTTAACATCTGATCTAAAATAATTTTTTCAAAAATTTTACTTAATGTTGGTAGTACAGAAATTGGTCTAAAATTGGCGGGGTCTAATGTACTACCAGATTTAAATATAGGTATGACTTTACTATGTTTCATTAAATCAGGAAACACACCAGATTCGACGCTTATATTAAATATAGTGGCTAGATAAGGTGCTAATGTATCTATTATAGATAAAATAACTTTAACGGAAATCCCCCATAAGTCTGCCGTTTTCTTAACATCAATAGTTTTAAAATATTTAACGATATCTTTTGGCAGTACCCTATGGAATTTAAAAGTATTTGAACAAGCCTTTACATTTTGTTTGAGCAATGATTCGGCGACAGTAGGAGAAGAATTTAATGATTTTGTTGTCAAAAAAGGAACATCAGTAAAATGTTTCTCAAAAGCCATAGCAACTTCTTGATCAGATCGCGTTAAATTATTGTTAATATTCAATTGAAAATCCGAGTTGCGCGGTTTGACCTTGCCCGTTTCACTATTTATTATTTTCCAGGTCATTTTAATTTTGTCGGATGCAGTTTTAATTTTGTTGCTTAAATGTAAAGCCTTAGCAGTGG